CAAGTGGGTGTGTTAGTAAGTGTGTTTCATTGGCAGGCGTTCCATGAGGAGTACTCCCGGCTCTACCTGCTTGCCAAAGAGACCCCGACCCCTCAGAACGATGCCCGGTTGCAACACGTGCTCATTTACTTCCTGCAAAACAATGCTCCCCAGCAGGTGGTGGAACGGACCCTTCTTGAGCAGTTTGCAGACAAAAACCTCAGCTATGATGAAAGGTTTGTGCCGTGGATTCCGAGATGAGGCTTTTCTCATCTGGAAGCAGCTGGTGCCATCGTTCTGATTTTTTTTCATCTCTGCTTACATGGAGCAGGTCAATTAGCATTATGAAGGTAGCACGAGCGAAGCTGAGAGAAATTGGTCCTGACGATGTCGATATGGAGGAGTACAAGGTGAGGGACTGGAGCGCTGCCTTTGATCCTTCACGCTGTCAGAACTGATGCTGTCCAAAGCCGCGCGTGGGAAATGGGGAGCACGGCGCAGAGCCGCACCAGCAAATGCAGCGGTCGCTGACCCACCTGTCAGCAGTGTCCTTGCTGTCTGAAGTGTGTGTCTGCAGAAGGATGCTGAAAGGGAGAATGCATACGCTGGGAGTCTCCTGAGGAGTGTCTGTGCCGTTGACTAAATTGATTTACATGTCGCTTATGAGAGATGTTTAAACCCGTCAAAGGGTAAAATCTGATGCGCTTTTGAGGTACGAAGGAATGTAAAACACGCGTGTGCGTGTGGCGGGTGAAGCTGATGCTCTGCTTTCTTGCTGCTCCTCAACAGAGATGGCACGAAGACTACAGTCTTTTTCGCAAGGTGTCGGTTTACCTGCTGACAGGGTTGGAGCTGTACCAGAATAGAAAGTAAGTTACTTTTAATTGTGTTTGGACAAGATGAGCGATAGCCTAAAAGTAAACGCCACTTTGACAGAACAACTTCTTTCTGACCTGTATATTATGCTGGGGTACCAGCTAGCTGTCTGACAGTTTCTTAGAGCTTCCCTGAATTTTCCCCTCTGTGAAGTAGAGCTTTATATTCTCATTTCTAGAGATGGGTTTATGGGAATGGTTGCCATCACTTTTTTTGTTTTTTTCCATTGGCTTCCTGTACCAAAATTACACCATCTTGAATTGGACATTATACTTTGTGTAAACACATGCTTTGGAGTGCTCTAGAATCTTAAGAAGTTTAAAAGGGCCTTTTTTTTTCCTCCTTGCTGTCTTAGAACCCGAATTTTACATCAGTAGTGCAGTGTGGAGAAGGACAATGCCATTTTAGGAAGAGTTTGTAATCTGAAAAGTTATTTTTCCAATCCGGAAAATAAACTAGCTTTCAGAAATGATTTGTGGATGGAAACAGAATTGAATTTTGAGGTGATTAGCAGGGATGAGCCACCAAATGCAGGTGGGCAAATTGACCAGAGGCTGGTCGAGAGCCTGTTAGAGCTTCCCTGAACTGACCTAATCCCTGTCAGCTGTTCTGTTTTCTCATCACGGGATTTAGAAGCTAGAAATGTGTAAAGGAACTGAAAACATTACCTCGTGCACTTCCTTGAGTGTTCTCTCAAAGTGCAAAGATCGCGGAGCCATACAGAAAACGTTGACACTGGCATTCACGCTCAGGCTAAGTTGTAGACAAACGTGGCTTTAAAGGGCTCTTCCAAGGATGCTCATTTGGCATACTGGGCAAAAAGGAACATGAATTACTTGATGTAGGGCGTCTGTTCATTTATGCTTTGGCAAGGAAATAAAAGTTTTTGCCGTTGGGCCTGATGCTAGTTACCGTTCAGGCCAAGTGAAAAATATTTCCTGAGCTGACAAGCCTAAGTGCGCTGCAGTTGTGACCTTGGCAGGGCCTGTGGGCTGGCGAGCTGACGCTCTTGTCCTAGGTACCAGGAGTCGCTCACCTACCTGGTCTACGCCTACCAAAGCAACACCAAGCTGCTGATGAAAGGAACCAACAGAGGAGTGAATGAATCGCTGATTGCCTTGTACAGAAGGAAGTGTCTCCTGGTTTGTACTGAGGAGCTCTACACTCATTGTTGGAGAGGAGGGGAGGGAGCAGACTGGGTGACATCGGCTCCTGTGGTGCAGTTTGCTTACCGGCTGCTCGGTGTACATCGCCCACGGAATCAGGCCGTACCACATCCCCTTGTAGGAGCACGCTTAATTAACGTGCTGCATTTTCAGGGCAGGCTCAGATGCTGCTGATCACGCTCTTGGGTTTTAACTTGGCGCTTGTGTCATTAACTTGGTGGTTGCGTTGTTTTCTGTCCGTTCACTTCCTCCCCCTGCCCCAATATTTATTTCTAATATTAATGGCTTCCTCTGAGTAAAAGATGATGTCCTTTTCCATAGGGGGGGCGAAAAAACAGCATAAAAATGAGGTTTGTTTTTAGTTCATGCTCCATGGTTGCCAAGACCAGTGTCACTGTCTCTCTTGTGCCTATTGCCGTGGCTTCTGCCTCTTACTGAGTGCCAGCAGTAGTGTGGAAATCCAGGAAATAATAATTCAGTGAAAGAATGTGCCCTGCGGCTCCCAGGGAATCTGGGTAAAGGCAGATCTGGACCTTGGCATCTTAAAACCGGAATTATAAATAAGCTGTATGTACTCTCCTACAGTAAATTACACATACGTATACAAATATATATATCCGTTTGTTTTCTATGGTGTGATTCCTGTGATTAAAGGTGGTTATTCCACCAGAACCCGGCGCTTGGTTCTGTTAAGTCTTTGCGTCTCTGTGTGGCCGTCGGTGAAGGAGCCCAAGCTGTGTGCCTTTCCAGACAGCATGCTGAGAATCTGAGGTCTGTGCTTGCATTTTAAAAGCCTGTCTCCTGGTTCTCCCTTCTCCCCTAGAAGCTAAATGAGGTGGCAGCATCTCTGTTCGTCAGCCATGAAGAAGCTCGTGTTGCAGAGGGCATTAGCATCCTGAACGAGCTGATCATCCCCTGCATGCACCTCATGAACAACTTTGAGATCTCCAAAGAGGACCTGGATGCCATCGAGGTCATGAGAAACCGCTGGTGCTCCTATTTGGGACGAGAAGACATGGATGGTAGGGGACGGCTGCTGGACTTACCTTTTTCATGCTGTTTGTGGGCAGGGCAGTGTCTAGATCTGAACTAGAGAGGGATTAAAGGACCGTTTAAAACACTACCTTAGATTCCTGGCATTTGCACTGTAGCACGTTTTGGTATTTCTGATTGTTAGAGGAGAAAGGGATTTGAAGCATCCATTGAATTGTATTATAGAAGAATTTAATCTTCTTGTGCACTAAACCTGCCGGAGAAGGATTCATCTTCCCTGAAATGTGAAAAGCTACTTTCAAAAGAATGACTTAGCGGTATCTAGATGTGCTTTGGTTTTCTGTTGTCTTAACTGAATGGGGGGTTCCCCCCAGATGGCAGGTGACTGCTGGCAGGCTTAGAGGCATAGGCAGGCTCCTCTTCAGGAGGGAGGAACAGGTTTTATCAGTGGCCAGAAACATGGCCAGAGTTGCAGAAGACTGGATGGGGGAGCAGACTCGGGGGATCTCTGCATTCTGAAGAGGGAGTTGTTGTTTCAGAGCTGAATTTTGGTCCTGGGTAGCCGTTCTTGTTCTGTATTGCCTTCTGTGGTCCAGAGTCGGGCTCCTGTGAGTACCCTCAGGTCATTTTTCTTAAGAGAAATTGGTTCCAACACTCCTTCATCTGTGTGTGAAGGCTGGGGGAGTTGTTGCGGGGGTTTTTGTCATTAGCAGAGGGTAAACTTGCTGAAGGAAAATAATGCAAAACCACAGAGGTTTCTTCTCAAACTACTGTTGTAAAATAATTGGATACATCTATGCTAATATGCAAGTTTCCCATTCTTGGGCTTGCCACGATGGCATGTACTTACACAGAAGGTTTTAAAGAAGCAGAAGTAGGCTGCTTGTGCCTCCCGCATCATGTGAGCTAGCTCAAATGTCACCCCTTCTGCCTGCTGCATCCTCTAATGTGCCGTCTGGCAGCGTTTGCATGGCCTGCTCCTGTGGGACTGTCCTTTACCAGGACTGGACGATGCCTGCACAGTACAGGCTGACCTGCCAAGGCCTGAGATGTTACAGGCTGTCAAGTGCGCTTCGTTTCCTTCAGATGCAGAGTCAGTACTTGAGTGTTGCCTTGAAACATGTAGTTACTTCTGGCTGGCTGGCCAGTACAACACCTTTGCAGGGAAAGCACAATACCCTGGTGGGCCATGGGGCTGTCCCCGGGGCAGCCAGGTGGCAGCAGAGCTGCCCTCTTTATGGAGCCCTGGGTTAGGCGGGTAAGACCTGAGGACCAAATGAGACCCAGGCTGGCAGCTGGTGCGACGCCTTCTCTGCGTCAGCAGATGCTGCTCATCCCCGCCTGCAGGAGATGGGCGGTTTTCAGCGCTGGAAGATGATTCTCTAAAAGGCGTCATAGATTTTTAGCTCGCGGCCCTGGGGCCCTCTGCCATCTGGTCTTTCGCTGTTGCTGTGCCACTGACTGTTTCATCCTTTCCCCCTTGACAGCAAAACTGCAGATGAAGCTGGGCGAATTACTGCCCCGGCTCCTCGACTGCTCCACCGAGGTCATTGTTCTGAAAGAGCCCCCGAAGATCCGGCCCAACTCCCCCTACGACCTCTGCAGTCGGTTTGCAGCCGTGATGGAGTCCATTCACGGGGCCTCGACCGTGACTGTGAAATAGACTGCGGACTCCCCGCCGTGGCACGGTACACGCACTGCAGACCACCCGCCTGCCGGGGTCCTCCTGCCGGGCAATGTTGGAAAGGGAGAGGGAAGAGGAGGGGTGATTCGCATTCAGAGCTGTGTTCTTTGTAAATACGAACGAATACAAAGCAGTATTGCACTTCTGAGAGAAAACGTTCAGCGGTAGTGCGAAGGACCTGAACCACTGTTCTAGCCTGACATGCCAGGTCCCTGGCAGTGCCGTCTGCCGAGGGCTCCCTGGGCCATCTTGGGAGGTTCTTCTCTTGGGCACCTTTCTAGCCACAGATCCCTGGGCCCGTGATGGCAGCAGAGCAAGAGACTGGCTCCTCTGGTGAGCCAGGCTATGAGCCATCACTGATCTGTCAGACACATTTACATCTTCCTGAATGATTAGCGACCAGAGATTATACATCCAGTTCTTGCCAAGCTCCTGCTAGCAGGAGTCTGAGTTGTGTGATTAGGAGGCAGAGAGGGAACGGTGGCTCACGCTTTCTATCGTGTGGGCAGTCACACGTGTCGCTGCATATTTTGGTCAAGTCAAGCAGGCATTTGCCTTTTGTATTTTAACTGGCAAAAGGAAATATGCAGGAGTCTGCCTCTGAGAAAGGCACAAGCAAACAGTGGCAGTGACAAGAGACAGGACGGGACTGTAAATATTGTCTCCCACACACTCATGCTACAGCAATAGCTTGCCGGTTAAGGGAGATCACGCTCCCCGAAGGGTATTCCCCTCTCGGATCGGAAGGCGAACTTCCTTCTCCTCTGCTGGATTTTCAGTGCTGGATTATTGTTGATGACAACTGCGAGGGCTATAGAATCGGTTCCTTTTTTGTTGGTGGTGGGTTGGGTTGGTTTTTTATTGACTTTCTGTAAAAAATGTGCCCCGTTTGGATTTCCTTTTGCGGGCAGCCTGTACTTGCGTTTGAGCTGCGGCAGTTGTTTTAAACCAAATGTTCTGAGTAAGTGGAGGGGTGGATCCTGTTTGTTAGGACTATGCAGATTTTTCTAAAAGTGCAATAAAAGCATTTGTTCTACGTTAGAATGAAAAAGCTCCCTCCGTGTTTTTATTTTGCTCCAGTGTTATGCCTTGAGTTTCCTCCTGGCTTCAATATGAAGAAAGGGAAGCAGGAAAAAAAAATGCTGGCAAAGTAATGCAGAAATTTCTGTGGCTCGATGAAGCTCCCAGACAGGCAGAACAGTGTGCCGGCTCGTGAGCTCCTCTTGGGTCTCCTGTGAAGGCAGCAGGGCACTTGGAAGCCACCGGGACACAAATTTCACATGCTTTAGCAGAGAAATGGGTGAGTGTGGTGACGCTGAGCGTAGCTAGGTTTGGAGCAGGCGTGCAAAGAAGCATGCTGGGGAGAGGCTGGGAAGGCAGGCCCTGAGGAAACGTCTTTGTTTGCACTCGATGCTGGGAGGTTTCTTTCGAGTCTCCTTCTTCAGAGTGGAGAATCTGTCCTGGAGCCCTTTCCCATTGTAAGCCGCTCTCCGTTAACTCATGGGGTTTTGGAAGAGGGAGTCTGCCGTTCCCAAGCAAGCAGCAGTAGGTAAGCATTCACATTAAGTCAGTGAAGAGGAGGCAAAAACGCTCTCTTCCTGTAGCCAAACACTCTATTTTCTTTCTTAATCGGGGAATTGAAACATTTAATTACATATTGAGCTGCTAACATGACCCTATGTTATAATGGCACCCTTTTACCGGCTGCTGCTGGCATTACTCTGACAAAATACAGATTTCTTGTCAGCAGCGTAGAAAGAGGGGAGAGACACGCACACGGGTGAGGGTTTTTTCCAACACATTAGGCAGATGTTTCTAGGACTTGTTTCTAGTGCAAAATTTGTTGTAATTAGCAGAGCTGTCTTTGAATGGAAATTGTCAGCACGGTCCCACCATCCTGTCGGTGTGCATTTCTCCATTATTTAGGAATAAACAGCTCCCATGGGAGAATCCTGCATTCTCCCAGTTATTTTAGGATAAAGTAGAAGTGCCGTTGTCTATAGAGACTCAAGCTGCCCATGCCCAGACAGTGAGCCGTGCCTTTTCCTGGTAATGGGATGCTGCAGAGCTGGGACTGCTGCTTTTTCAGGGTTTTTTTCCCTGTCGTCGTGATGGCTGTCGTGGTTTAACCCCAGCCAGCAGCTAAGCACCATGCAGCCGCTCACTCACTTCCCCCCTACCCAGTGGGATGGGGGAGAGAATCGGGGAAGAAAAAAAGTGAAACTCGTGGGTTGAGATAAGAACAGTTTAATAGGACAGGAAGGAAGAAATGAATAACTATAATAAAATGACAATAATAATAGTAAAATAATTGGAATATACAAAACAAGCGACGCACGATGCAATTGCTCACCACTTGCCAACCAATGCCCAGTCAGTTCCCAATTGGCGATTTCTTCCGCCCAGCCCCACTCCCCCCAGTTTATATATGGGACATGATGTCACATGGTATGGAATATCCCTTTGGCCAGTTTGGGTCAGCTGTCCTGGCTGTGTCACCTCCCAATTTCTTGTGCCCCTCCAGCCTTCTTGCTGGCTGGGCATGAGGAGCTGAAAAAATCCTTGACTTGGTATAAACACTACTTAGCAACAACTGAAACCATCAGTGTGTTATCAACATCCTTCTCATACTAAATCCAAAACATAACACTATACCAGCTACTAGAAAGAAAATTAACTCTATCCTAGCCGAAACCAGGGCAACAGCTAGTGGAAGGATGAGACCTGCAACTTCCTTCTCAGGGTAGTCTGACTGCAATGAATGAAAATGTTGAACTTTTGAACAGAGACCCTGGGGCCGCGACACCGCATACTCAACAACTGCGCTCACTCCTCCTAGCCAGCAGACAACTCGCAATTTCTAGACAGCTTTTGCAATGCTGTTGAGTCATTCCAACTTGTAGGCAGTAGGATGTGATTTGGGAAGAGAATCCTGAACTAGGAGCAGCCGGTTACTCCGACTGTCACGAGACAGTAGCTTTGCCCTGTTCTTTGGGTCGCTGCCAGAAAGTGAAATACCCAGCTGATGTCCAAAGCCGGTTTAAAAAAAAAAAAAAAAAAAAAAGTAAAGGCTTCTCACAAGTGCAGGTCGGTGCCTGGAAAGTCATGATATTTGGGTTGGGAGGCAAGGGAGGAAGGGAGGAGTGTCCCCAAGCTGGAAACCTTTGCTTGGTGTCTGGTCCTCCCCTTTCCCAAGGGCGTGGGTGACGGGTGATGGCCAAAACAGACTCTCTTTGCTGCCTGGGTTGCTCAGACCTCACCAGGGCAGCTAACGGCATGTGCAGGTCTTTGGAAAGCACCCTCGCCAGCCAAGAATGCCACCCTCCTGGCCCCTCTGTTCTACCTCCCTTGATCTTCGTTAGGAAGGACTGAGCACCTGCCTCTCCCCCCTTAACTCTCTGCACAACTGGCTGTGCCCCAAGTCCAGGCAGTGTAAGAAATGCCTGGGGAGAATCTTTTTTCTCTCTCCCTGCCTACCCACTCCTTTCTCTCCCCTGCAGCTGAGCAAAGTACAGGTTTCAAAAGGGGACTTCTGGAGGACGGCGGACTTTGCTTCCCCCAGGAATGCTGGTGTCGGCTGGGGGCTTCCTTGAGTTTGGTCACGCGCCCATGGCTTTTAGCCTGTGGGGATTAAACCCGCGGTGAACTCGGTTTTTAACAGTGCTGTAGCAGTGGGCTGGCTTCTGTCAGGACTCTGGGTGTTAATCCAGCCTGATGTTCCGTGCTGTTGGTTGCACAGAGGCGTGCAAGCAGACTTTATTTTTACAGCTGAATCAGGAAAATGTGGAAGAAACGGTTAAAGACACCGGCAAAACACCACTCTTGCCTCTTCTGCACAGGTAAATGATGCAGTTGAGAAACTTCCTACACGAAGGTCGGTGGTGTGCTTATGGCGTTATCATTTTAGCCATGAGAAGATGAGGCTACTGCAGGGGATACAGCCGCTGGCATCCTGTCTTTGCAGCAGGAGCACTCTTTGGTACTGCCTCGTCTCTCGTTTTCCTTCTCCCCCTTGTTTTCCACCTTTCTCTCCTTTTCCCCCCCCGTCTTTTCTGGACAGACCAACACATCATTGGAGCAGCAGCGCTGCCCCTTGCAGCTCCCACCCTTCATCCCCACTCATGCTGTGCCTCATGCAAGGTGCAGCTGTAAGTTCAGAGCACAGAAACACACTGCCGATGACCGCGATAATTTATTGCAAATACAGCAGAGTGATGCGGACAGGCAAGGAATGAGCTGCTATGCTGAGGCACGGCTGCTAGCCATGACAGACTCGGCTACAGGGGATTCGCAGGGGATGCTAACACAGCGTCATCCATAAGCGACGCTACCACAAATGTCACCAGGAGTACAAAGTGCTGCCCACCGCTCTGCCTCTGCCTCGTTGCCTTCCCACGCTCACTCAGCAAGTGCTGCAGGGAAAGCTGTTGCTCCCTAAAAAAGAAAAAAGTGAAGCAGGCACACAGAGGAAGGAAAAAAATCTGCAGGGCTGTCGTAGGAATTAGCAAATCATCCTGTAAAACACGCAGGAGCCGTCCCTGCAATCGGAAGAGCCAGGAGGCGTGCAGGGCACAGCACCCCGAGTCTCTAGATGACCAGGTCTGTGGTTTTGGGGTGTGGGTGGTGGCCCCCGGCTGCATCCTGCGTGGCGGGGGGCTGGTGGCAGGCGGAGGCTGGCAGCATTGCGGTCCTTGTGGAGCGGGCGCTGCAAGCGAGGAGCAGCCCACCAGTGGCGAGGAAGGCTCCGGCAAACCACCCCAGGAAGGTGGCCTCCCCGAATTCCCACCGGGGGACGATGTCGGGGACGGTGTCATCCCAGAAGTCGAGGACGGTGTTGTAGGCGACCCAGGAGATGGGCGCCAGGGTGGCCATCCCCGCCGTGCCAAATGCCACTCCCCCGGCGAGCAGGAGCCACCGCTTTAGCCCAGGTTTGTCCTCGCAGGCTCTCCAGCCCTCCAGCCCCAGGGCAGCGAGGAGGCACCCCAGCAGCCCCAGCCCGTTGGATAGGCACATCAGGAGGCGGGAGATGCGCAGCTCAGGGGGCAGCGCCAGGAAGGAGCCATGGGCTCGGCACTCGACAGCCCCTTCCTCCCGGGCGATGCAGACCTGCCAGAGCCCCATGGTCCAGACCTCCAGCTCGTTCAAGTCCAGGTTGAGGCTCTTCCAGAGTGGCACGAAGGTGGTGACGCAGGAGGAGACCCACCCGAGGATGGCCAGCAACATCCCCCCTGCCTGCACCCTCGCCCGCCAGCTCCCAGCCATGCTAACGCCGCCCTGCTAACCTGCACGACAGGTGGAGATAAGCCGCCCTGAGTGGCGGCCGCGGGCATTAACACTTGTGGAGCAGTGTCCGCCCCGCCGCCGGCCGCGTCTGGCGCCCAGGGCAGTGAATTCAAGCCTGTTCCTCCAACGCCGGGGTGTGGCCACGGTCATTTTCCAGCCATTGTTGGTTTTTCCAAGCTAAAAGGAAAGCGCGCTGGGCTCGGCAGAAAAAGCTGGGTGCATCCCCACCGTGACTCTGGCCCGGGTCCCACCGCTGCCTCACCGTGCCCAGGAGGGTTAAGCCAAAGCATGCAAATCCTCCGAGCCTCGGCCACCCTGAAGCAAGAGCCTTGGCAGGGAAAGCGTCTCTCAGCAGCAACGGCTCTGGCCATGGTAGGATGGGGAGGGGACCCTGAGGTGGGATGCAGGCAGCGGAGAGCCAGAGTCAGGCTCTTCTCAGGAGGGCTTGAGGCATCGACCCTCATTCAGTCATTAAATAAATCTCCAAAGGAGCCCTCCAGAGCTGCGTCAAGGACGAGGACGTCCAAGGGAGGGTGTGCCTTTGCCTGCCGCTCGCAGGTGGGCACTGATCACCCTGTCCTGCACCCAGCACCTCACCAGGGGACACGGTTCTTGTTGCTTGATGTGAGCAAACTCTTGCCTGGAAGAAGATATCCTGCTGCAGAAAAAAAGATGGGGGGAAAAGGTTGGGCTGCATCGTCAGGAAAATCCCAACTTTGTGCTGGTGCTCAGCTCCCATCCGCCCCCGCAGGCGTCCCCTCCACGGGGTCCAGCTTGCAGATTCATCTTCCCTGGGAGATTAGCGACTAATCTCTCCTTCATCTGCCATCTTTCTTATCAACAGCGGTATCGGGGGCCAGGCTGAAAATTACTGAGTCCACCTGGTGCCGGGGGTCTGGCCCCAGTGAGCGTTGAGGGGGACCTTCGCAGAGGGCTCCTAAAAGGAGAGGGCAAGGGAGGATGGACCACATTCAACCTGGAGTACAGCCAAGGTGGGAGAGGGGGGACATTTTCCAGCCCTTGTTGACGGTCCCATCCCCAAGAGCAGATGGGGAGCATCATCCCGAGGGCGAGAGCAGGGAAATCCGCTGGGAAACCCCTCCTGCTCCTTCCCCCGGGCGTCAGGGCGCCCGCTCCTTCCGATTAAATCATCTCAAGGTAATTGCGCCTGTCATTGAGACAGATTAATGGGCGACCTTCTGCTGCTGGAGCCGGATTGGCAGCCGCCGACAAGCTCCCCGTCCTTCCCTCCCACCGGCCGCAGCGGCACCCCATCCACAACCAGTGGGAAGATGCCTGGCGGCGGCCAGGACAGAGCGGGAGCTGAGGACGACGTCTGCTGGTCCGGCAGCTGCTCCGCCTGGACATGAGGTGGGTGCCTCTCTCACCCGGGGGTCTCTGCAGGGCTGGGGGGCTGGGAGGTTGGCCCTGAGGACCACTGGTCCCACCAGGGCAGTGGCAGGAGGTGCCATGGGAGTGGAAGTGGTCCTGCCCCAGGGCACTGGCTGGGGATGCTTGGAGGAGGCAGAGTGCCTGCGCTCCCCCTCCCCATCCCTGTCCGTACGGGTCACTGCTTTCTGGGTTGCATTTTCAGGAACGTGACCTCCCATCGCATCTCCCCGCGGGGACTTGGCTGGACTCGGCCCGTCCCGAGCTGCCCAGCTGTGGGTCTGCATCTCTATCATGGGCTGTCCTTCCTCCCGCACCCAGGGGCTGCCCGTTTCTGCTCAGAGCTCATTAGAGAACTGGCAATTATGGCCACGGCCTGGGACAAGCGTGGAGCGCAGCTGCGGGCGCTCACCTGGAGCTTGGCCGCTGCCGGGGCTGCTCCATGCCGGAGGTGAACACCTCCTTCCCTGGCCTCTGCAATGCAATTATGGCCCCTAATGGGCTTAGCCATCTGGTGCCAGCCCGTTGCCGCCCCAGCACGGCCCCATGGCTGGCACATGCACTGCCGGGCGAGGGCAGCCCCACCAGACCCTGGCCCATGGGGACGCGGAGAGGGGCCGGAGCCCCACGCCGTCCTCCACGTCCAAAATAATGCCCCGCTTTGTGTCCCCCATGGCAGGACCCTGCGCACAGCTCGGGGCTGAGCCCCCGTCCTGGCACTGCCATGGTGCTCCCCTGCGCCCGCAACAGCGGCAGCGGCGGCTGGCTGGTACCCGAGGAGCCCCGCGGCCGCAGCAACTCTATCCCCCCGGCGCAGACCCCCACCGCCAAGCACATGCTGGCTTACCTGCCCCGGCCGCCCACCGACTCCAGCTGGTACGGCACTTTCCCCCAGAAGGTATGGCTTGTGCCGGGGCTCTCGGGCATCCTCTGGACAGGATGCCACCGGGCGGTCGTGGTTTTCAGAGGTGATTTCTTACCGGCGGCCTCCTTTCTGCGCTGCAGCCCGAACTCCCAGCCGCCCCTGGGGCTCTGGTGGAAGACAGCAGGCAGCAAGCCAGCACCGCTGCTGCCAAGAGAAGCGCCCTGATGCCAAACTACCCATCCCCACCCTGCCGTGGAGGCACCGTCCCCGATGAGCCATCCCTGCTGCCAAGCCGCGGCAGCGTGGCCACCCAGCACCGTCCCGGTGATCTGTCCCGGTGCCTGCTGGCTGCCCCACAGGAGGCGGGCACCCACTGTTACGCGCTGCACACACTGAGCGTGCCCAACATCCCCAGCTCGGTGCGCAGCAAGACCCCCACCCGCAGCGCCGGCGCCACCACCCCAGAGGGGCTGCAGACCCGGCGCCGCAAGCTGCTGGAGGACGATGGCCCCGTGGTCCAGGCCAGCAAACGGCAGCGGCAGCGCTACGTGACGAAGGTGGGCAAGTGCCAGGTGAACCTGGGCAACATCCAGGAGAAGAAGCGGTTCCTCTCAGACATCTTCACCACCATCGTGGACCTCAAGTACCGCTGGTTCCTCTTTGTCTTCATGATGTGTTACATCGTCACCTGGGTGGTCTTCGGCACCGTCTACTTCTTCGACGCCTGGGTGCGGGGCGACATCGGGCACCGGGGTGATCCTGAGTGGCGGGCGTGCATCGAGAACGTGGACGACTTCATCTCTGCCTTGCTTTTCTCAGTGGAAAGCCAGCGGACCATTGGCTATGGCTCCCGGATGGTGACAGCCAACTGCGCCGAGGGTGTCATCCTGCTGATGGCGCAGTCCATCGTCGGCTCCATGATCGACGCCCTGATGGTGGGCTGCATGTTTGTCAAGATCTCCCGGCCCAAGAAGCGCGCCCAGACCCTCATCTTCAGCAAGAACTGTGTTGTCTCCCGCCGGGATGAGAAACTCTGCCTGATGTTTCGCGTGGGAGACCTGCGGGACAGCCACATGGTAGACGCCAAGATCCGGGCCAAGCTGATCAAGTCCCGGCAGACGGCCGAGGGGGAGTTCATCCCCTTGGAGCAGTCGGAGCTGAACCTGGGCTACGACACGGGGGAGGACCGCCTGTTTCTGGTGGAGCCCCAGATCATCTGCCACGTCATCAACCGCCACAGCCCCTTCTGGGACATGTCGGCCGAGTCACTGCGCCGGGAGCAGTTCGAAATCATCATCATCCTCGAGGGCATTGTGGAAGCCACAGGCGAGTGGTCCGCAGGGGTCGGGGTGGGAATGGGTGTCTCCCCTGGTGTCCTGGAGATGCCGGGCGAACCCGGGCTTGGGGCTGGCATCTTGGGAAGAGATGCCTGGGGCCGAAACCGGCTGCCCCCCAGGAAATGGGTGACCCGGGGCTGGAAGCCCCGCGTTAGGCTGCGGGTGGTTCGTAGCGGTGCCCCGGCGCTCTGCCCACTGGCAGCAGCGGTGGCAGCTGAGCTGTTCTCTCGCCGCAGGAATGACGTGCCAAGCCCGCACCTCGTACACGGAGGACGAGATCCTCTGGGGGTACCGCTTTGAGCCCTGCATGTCCCTGGAGAAAGGCGCCTTCCGGGTGGACTACAGCCGCTTCGAGATGACCTTTGAGGTGCAGACACCAGCGGCCAGTGCCAAGGAGCTGCATGAGCTGAAGGAGCTGGAGCAGCAGGAGCACTCCATGCTCAGCCTCTACTGGGACCACCTCCTGCAGCCCTGCACCCCACCGGGGACGGGGCCTGGCAAGGATGCTCTCACCGGGCTGAGCGGTCCCGGCAGCGTGGCCGAGGGCAGCCGGGATGAGCCGCTGGAGCGGGGTGTTGCCGCCTGAGCCACTCCCGGGGGGCCACGGGATGGGACGCCCGGCCGTGCCCTCCGTGCACGGCGGGTGCCTGGCAGAGGGTCCCGCGCCGACAGTGCCATAGCCCACCCTCCCTCCGTGGGGCTGAGCCCTCCTGCTCCCCGGCCCTTGCCCCCCCACCCCACAGCCCCGGCTGCAGCCACGTGGCATTATTTTTGCAGTGGGTGATTAAAGTCTCTTAATTAAAAAAAACCACACAAATAAATCAGCAGTGTTTGTTCTGTTTGCACGACACTTGACAGGGGTTGCTCAGACCCCCTGAATGGGATGGTTGCTGCACAGCATGGGTGGGGAGGGGCTGTGACCCCACACAAGGCTCCAGGCCCCCCCCCACTGCCCCCCACATCACTCCAGGGCACCCCTGCAGCCCCCCACAGACCCAAACATCACCCCACAGCCTCCCCCCGACACCCCCAAGCTGACCCCCCAGCCCCACGCATTACCCCAGGACCCCCCCCCCATCGCAGAACTGTCGCAGCTGGCCGGTGCTGCGAGAGGCTGGGACAGAGTTTAATAGAGTTAAACAAATATAATTAAATTAATTATGCTGATAGAAATAGATGAATGGCGTTAGGTGGGTCCGTATTCATTCCTGCACAGGGGGTGCCCTGCGAGGGTGGCATTACCCAGTGAGGGGGTGTCCCACCCTCCCATCCCCCCTCCCCCCCAGCACAGCACGGTGTACCTAACTCATCACTCCCGCCCACGCCACTAATTACTAATCACAGTAAAACCCCACAGAGCAGCCGCGTTCCTGCACCATTCTCACCACCTGGCTGCTGCACCGCCATGCTGGGGGGGATCTCGCTGGAGTGATTTGGGGTTCAGCGAGGGGTTGGGGTGGGGGGGTTCTGGTTGTACTTGGCTGTCCAGGGGCACCTCGTGTCGCCACGGCCAGCTCGTGCCTCTGGCGTGTGTCACTGCAGCGCAAAATATACCAGGGGCGGCAGCAAAATGCCACCGCTGCGCCACATCACGGTGCTTAATGTCCCCTTTTATATTTATAAATCCATATAAAAGTTCTTATGTAGCAGGTCTGGCTGGGATGGCATCACCCCTCCAGCGCTGTGCTTTGTGGCCATCGCTTGAGGTGAAGGAGAAGATAAAATCCTTTTGGTTTCCTTTGCTGCTGCGTGCTGCCTTTGCTTTTTCTTTAATTAAACTGCCTTTATCTCACCTCATGGGTTGTTCGGGTTTTTTTGTTTGGCTTATTTTCTGCTTCTCCCCCACTGTCCTGCTGAGGAGGAGAGTGATGAAGCAGCTGGGTGGGCATGTGGGGCCACCCACGACAGTGTATATGTGTATAGAAGTATGGGATTTTTATATATATGTGTGTATATACACAAAAAAAACCTAGAAGTTAATATACTTTCATACCCTGAAGAGGAGGACAGCAGACATTTCAGCTGGCAGAGCCCTCGCGGGCTCCTCTCGCCCACCTGACTGACCACCTCAGGGCCGACCTGACCCTAAATCATGTAACTAAGGCCATTGTCCAAAACCCCTCAAACACCCCCGGGGCGTGGGGGGGTCTGCACACCCCAAGGGCGGGGGCCAGGCCTGCAGGCAGGTGTCA